GGTTTAGGGCAGAGTACCTCAGTTTAGAAACAAAAATCTACCAGACTTCAATAGTAGAGGGGCCCTAATCACGGTACTATCTGAGTATTTTAAAAATACAGAGGTCACTGCAATCTAATAAAAGGAATAACAACTTGGGAGTCCTAAGACCTCAGTTGGTTTCCCATTATTAACAGAAGGCACTTAATCCCACTGATCCTGTTTCCTCATTGATCAATCAGTAGTGATATTTATTGTACAAAGTACTGTGAGATCAATAAGACTATGGATTTTAAGGTGCTTTTTATTTTTAAAAATTAGATCAACAAAATGAAAGAAAGGCAAAACCAAGAACAAAAGAATGGAAAAGAAAGGCACTAAATTCTGGTGCCATTTAGCACTGGTCAAAGTTCAGCATTTCCAAAGAACATCACTGTATCTCAAAGGAGAGCAGTAACTGATGTTCAAAATGATAAATACTTACATGGCATTTTCTTGGCTACTTAGACTCCCTTAGTGCAAGTCTATTTTCCAATTGGTTCTCTAAACTTTTGGTGATTCACCTGATAGCCTTTCAATAAGTTCTTTTTCAGCTCAAATCAGCCAGATCAGGTTTTTCTTACTCCAACTGAGAACTCTCATGCATAGGTCAACACCAAGAGGAAAGTTACACTTTAGGTATGTTGGCCACAGGTTCTAGCAAGTTACACTAAACTAAAAATGTGGCTCAAAGCCTCTTATATAGAGCAAAAGCAGAAGTAAAAGTAGAAGTAATTATATAAGTGGTGCTTCAGTGGAGTACACATCAGAATCATCTGGAGAATTGCTTCACAACATATATGCCCATGATTCACAGAAAACGAAATGCAAATGTACCTTATCATTCAACCTCACTCATGAGAGAAATGCTATTAACAATGACACTAAGATACCACTTCAGTATCTAACTGTCAACAATCCAAAGCCTGATAATATATTTTGGTTAAGCTTTGGGAAAATAGGCACTCTCATATATAGGTGGTAGAAATACAAAATGGTACAGTCCCTATAGAGAGGAACTTGGCAATAACTGGCAAAATTTGCATGTTTACTCTTTGACCCAGCAATCTCCTATCCTAATGATACACGAGCAAAAATAAAAATGACATTTGCAGGAAGCTATTTGTTGCAGCACTATTTGTAATAGCAAACAGTGGAACCCCGATGTCCATCAATAGAAGACTAGTTAACTTTTGTACATCTATTCAACAAGAGTACTATGCAACAATAAAAAGGAATATCTTGTTATGAAATGAATTCCAGGATAACATTGTTAAGTGAAAAAAAGCAAAGTGCAGAAAAGTATGCAAAAACTGGGGAGTCAGGAGGAGAGAAATGATAACTACACTGTGTATCTCTACTTACACTTTTAAAAAGCAAGATAGATAAACCAAAACAAATAAAACTGTTAACCTATAGGGCAAGGGAGGGAAGTGGGAAGAATGGGGCCTAGTAGGCAGACCTCTCTAAATGTACCTCAGTTTTGACTCCAGAACGATATAACTGTTTTATATGGTTATAAAACAAAATTAAATTTTTTTTAAAAAAAACTGAAAACAATGAACCTAACTGATTACCAAATTGGTGGCCTAACCAAATGGAGAATTACTCTAAGTTACTTGGTATTCTGGTTATATATCCTAAGGGGGAAAAACAAAGAAATCTTAAACTGCAATGAGTGAACCTGTTGTTTCTGTTTTAATCTGTTGTTATTTTGAATTATTCTATGTAGGTGTATTAGGATCAAACAGATATTACGTTAATGTCATTTGGAATCAAGATTTTGGGGTTAAGAGAAAAGAGATATAAATATAAAATCAAATTAAATTAAAAAATTTAAAAAAATGTTTTCCTTTTAGTGGAAATGGTATTTATAGACAGTTATTATTTACAACTGGGAATATTAGCATGAACTGATGATTTGTTTTTTTTCTTTCTAAGACAATACACATTTCCTAGCTCTGTTCACTGAAAACTCCTAAACACAACTAACCTCACAGTAATGACAGCCACAGGAATTATAGTACTACGTAATCTCACTGATCAAGTATTGGCTCAGTAAATGAAAAAATGGCTAAATGTAAGAAAGAAGGCCTTCAGCATCCTGCTCCAGCCTATTAATCATTTAAAAACCAAGTCAATGACACTTATTCAAAAACTCAAATTCTCCCACCACTAAAGAGGATATATCTTTTCTTTGTCCAACATAGGTTCAATAAAGTTACTGAATAAATAATACACTTTTAGAGGGCATCTACCTTTGAGGCCTGTTGCAACAAATACACCATAGTATGAATCTAAAAGAAATGATACTTATGGAATGAGTCTGTTGAGTTAGGTATTCAGAAGAAAGTTTTATCACAAAATCACCATATTAATTATAAAAATAACTTACCAGTTACCTGTAACGGTAACCTTCCACTGTGGTTATTACTAGTATCAGACCTTGGTGAAGCAGTGGCCATGTCCCAAAATTCAGCTAAAACCTATAAAAAAATTTAATTTATTCATGTTTTAGGCAAGAGATTGTAATTTTCAAGATGATTAAAATTGTTTGGATTGACTAAGAAACCACATTTATTTTCGATCCATTACATGTTGACAAGTTCCAAGTTTTCCTCCATTTAAAATTAAGACAATATTATAAGCAATACTGAATATGGCCAATAAACCACGTGAGTCAATTTGAGCAACAAAATAAATGATAATATACTAAGCATCCAGGGTCACATGTTGTTTTTAAATAAAATAAATATATCAATTAATATACTATATACACTTATTTATTATCTGAACCATCTGAGTGTGTTGCCCCTTTACCCTTTAATACTTGAGTGTGCATTTCCTAAGAATAAAAATATTCTCTTAAATAACCACAGTACAATGATCAAATTCAGGAATTTTACTAGAACATTATTATCTAATCTACAACCCATATTCTATTTTCATCAACTGTCCCAACAACGCCCCTTATCGAAGTACTTTAAATATAGTAACTACTCCACATTTATGTATTGTATTAGTTATGTCCCTAGTAAATCTTGCATGTTCCTTTTTATAGATAATTTTTCTCATGCTCTGCTAAACATCCCCTTCTGCCCCAATTTTTATTTTTTAAATAAAATACAAAGCAGAGCCACTTCAGTTTTCTTCTGCATGATAAATATCTCAAGGCTCAAATTCTATCCACCCTGAACCTCCTAAAGAAAAAGCAAAACATTCTGAGCAAGACTGAAAAATATTAATGAATGCTAATGTTTATCTTGTTTATCCTTCTATTTGTAGTCTTTCTATGTTTCATTTAGATCCTTCCCACAAATTCTGGGACTTAATACTCTAAAATCATTATACTCTCTTCACCTACTTACAATTACATATATTGTGTTTGAATGTGTGTGTGTGTGAAAAGATAAACAGTTGCTTACTACATGATTAACTGATTCTAGTTAACATATATTCACAGGTTTTAAGACTTCATTCAAGCCAATGTTCTCATTCTGCAGATGAAAAAACAGGCTTAAGGATTACATCCACCTGAGGATCAGCTGTCGTTTTCATAGGAGAAAATCAATGGAAATGGAATCCTTAAATAATCAATTAACAATGAAGAAAATCAATGGAAGGTCTTCAATTTCTAGCAATCTAGTGTACTATTAGATATCTGAAAGATCTTCCTGTTTTAATACAAACAGGTTCTAAATAAATTAAAATGCACTACTTTTTAAGCACTGTTATGCTCTCAAGAAGTATGGGAAATTATCAAGCCTGTTACCACGCCATAAAATAGCAACCAAGGGAGTATCACTCGAGCCCATGAGTCGGAGGTTGCAGAGAGTTGTGATCGCACCACTGCACTCCAGAATGGGCGACAGAGCAAGGCCTGTCTCAAACAAACAAACAATAAACAGTAGCCCAAAAAACCCCAAATTAACTAAAGTGAGTTGGCATGCTGACCTTGATCATGTGGCTGAGGCAGTGTTTGTCAGATTCTACCACTGTGAAGTTACTCTTTCCCCCTTTTCCACACTGTAATCTTTGGGAAGAAATCACTATGAGCAGCCTACACTAAAGGAATGGGGCATTATGCTCTCCTTCCTTGGGGACAGAGTATCTACATAAATTATTTTACCAGATAGAATTTTTAAAATGAAAAAGTATGATAACTGAATATTTTAAAATTAGATTGGACAGAACTTGAGAGTTTCAGTAAACTTAAATATAAATCTGAAAAAATAATTTAGAAATAGCACTGAAATAAACAGATTGAAAATACCAAAGAGATGTTAAAAGACCTGAAAGATAAGATAAGATCTGACATATGTTTGTACTCATAATCCCAGAAAATGAAGAAAGAGGAGAGGTCATACTAGGAGAGAAAATGACTTAATTTTATAACCAATAAAAGACATTTATTCACAATTGTAAGAAACACTATATATGTAAGAGGCAGAATAAATACAAAGAAATTCACACTTGAACACACAGCAGTTAAAACTACAGAACACTAAAAACAAAGACCATGTTAAAAGCAACCAGAGAGAAGAGAGATTACACACAAAAGAAGACAGTAAAATAATAGCAGGATTCTTAACAGCAACAAAGTATAAAAGGTAGAACGAATAAAGGATTGAGACAATTAAAAATTATGTAACCACCAGAACTCTTTGGGGAACATGGAAAGCATTAAGACATTGCCAGATAAACCAAAAAAAGTGTTTATCAACAGCAGACTTTTACTTCAAGAAAATCTAAAGGATTTGTTTCATAAAAGAGTAAAATCACCACAGAAGGATGATTTGAGATGCAAGAAGGGAAGATGAGTGAAGAAACTGCTAAGCATACAGGCAAATTTAAATACACATTGACTGAATAACAGTAACAACGTATTATTGTGGTGTTTAAATAAAAACCCTATAAACATTAAAATATGGAACTAAGGAAAGCATAGAAGTATAAGGGCGGGGGAGAGAGGAAGAAGATGGGGATTAATGTTTTAAATCCTTGCATTGTTCAGCAGAGAGATTATGATCTGGTTTAACTTTAGACGGTATAGTATTCCTGGTAGAATGCCAAGGTTAATCATAAAAGAAAAGAAATAAGAGGGTATAATTTCTAAACTAGTAGAGTAGAAGAGGACAGAATAAGTAAACTCAATCAATACGAAAAAGGCTAGAAAGGAAAGGGAGAGAAAAACATAAATAACCAAGACTATCAGAAAGCACAAAGGAGAGTCCAAATAATCACAACAAACGTAGAGTATACAGACAAATTCAAAAGTAAGATAGGAGATACCTAGAAAACAAAGATACTGACAGAATGAAAGCAAAAATAAGGAAAAGGACACAGCAAACAAAAAGAAAGCCAAATTAGTTATAATTGCAGACAAAACAGCATTATTAAGGAGAACAAGGAAAATGTTCAATTCAGGAAAAGTGTGTATCAAACTCTAAACTGACATGCTTTAAAAAAATATCTAACTTTGCATTCTTTCTCTTTCTCCCAACACGGCAGCCTCGATAAAAAAGAAGAATAAGAAGGGGACATCTATCTCCCTAACATAACTCCTTAACTTTGTGTGATAGTACTGGTGGAGAAGCATGTATGTCCCCAAACCAGTCAGCTGAAATGATGAATCAAAAGGCCTGGAAGGAGATGTTTCAACCACTTAGCACAGCAATGATGACAACATGTACAGGGCACCTCCAAATGACCATTGTATCCTGCCTGCTGTTCCACAGGCTGTTTGAGAATCCAATAACAACCAGAGCTATCTTCCCAAATTGCCACTATACACTGCTTTTCTAGGGAACCTGACTTGTGATGTGATAAAAAGCTCCATTAAGGAACTCTTTAGAGGATTAAATATCAGGGCATTTACCACATAAACCCAGCAACCCAGAGAGGTTGAAAGGTTTGATTATGCTAAATCTGAGTACCTGGATTTCCTATTCAGTGCCCTGAGCCTCAGTGTGGAGTCTCTTGGTAACAAAATGAGTGGTCGTTGCTATTAGGCGTGGTGGGATAAAGAAAGAGATGATTGTTCCTTTGGCTGAGATAGAAATCTAGATTGTGACAAAACAGACTAGAAAGTCCATCCTGCCGTAAACAGCTTACGACTATCCATCCACCTAGAGGAGGTGATGGTAACTTTGAAGACAAATAACATGTCATTATGGAGACCAGGACTGCTAAAATGACTGAGGCAGCAGAGACTATGATACAGGATATGACCCCAAGAAAAGCATTTGGTAATGGGTATTATAGGAATAATGACTACAGAAGAAGTGCAGGCCACTATGGTGGGACAATAGGGTTGCGGAGCTCCAGAGAAGTTTATTGTTGGAAAGATTATAGGTGTGATGATAGACATCACCCCCACCCAGAGATCCCAATTGAATCTAAAGCCTCAGAGTACTCTTAAGAAAGATGACTCTTCTGCTGGCCCCTCCCAGTCCAGTTGAGCAGCTTCTATCTTTGGAAGCACAGAGCCTGTTGACCCAGCTACAAGAGACAAGCAGTAAAAGAGAGCTACAGAAGGAACAAGAGGAATTGCAATGTCAGCTAGATGAACCAAAACTAGAACGGCCTCAAGAAGACACCTAAACTGGCAAAGTGAAGAAAGTCAGGAAAAACAATGGTCAAAAACAGGAAGTGATTCACCTCAGACATGGACCTGAGCCACTCCTGTCAGAGTTAGACTAGGATGCATGAAGGAGAGAAAGAAGTCTCTGGAAAATGGAACACTCAGTAAGGTAGAAGACTGTGACTAACATATAAGCCTCCCAAATGATCAGCTGCTACAGGTAATCCTGGCCCCTCCACAAAAGAGAATAGCTGGGTGAAGCAAAGTGTCAATCCTTCTGCTTGATGTCAGAGCTCAGACATAGAGTAGCAATCCCCTACAAGTCATGGGAGGAAAGTAGCTCCAGCTCAATCATCTCAGGAAGAATCAGCAAGTAAAGATGAAAATAAACGGGTGAGGGTCCCAAAAAGGGAAAGTAGAAACTTCAGTATTGTCCAGGAAGTGGAGAGAAAAACAAGCCAATGCAAGGAGGCTGAAAGGAAGGATGGCAAAAAGGATCAAGGTTTCAAATTTGTACCTGAGCTAAGAAACCTGAAGAAAATTCAGCCTTTAGTTCAGTACTGTAAATATGCTGCTCTGTCAATTGATGGTGAGGGGGAAGAAGACACCAAATAGACGTTTACATCTTGTGCTTTCCTCTAGTTTGTCTCTACTCTGGAATACTCAGAGTAATCAAATCTCTATCCAGACACGCCAAATACAACTCACCAGCTACTTGGGGTAGGGAGCTTAAAAAGACTCTAAGACTACAGGGATAAATTGACAAATTGGCCACTGTTGTGGGCAATTTCAACACATCTCAATTAATCATAAGTCAAGTGGACAAAAAATAATAATAATGAATAAGCGTGACTGAATAACATAACCTGAACCTCATAACCCACTATTAGAACATAAACGTTTTTCTCAAGCACTCATGGGACATACAAAAAAGCAATATACACACTCAGAGATAATGAAAATCCCACAGAATTTCAAGTAATGTTTTGAGTCTCTGACCAAAGTATAACTAAGTTAAAAATCAATAACAAAAGATAAATTTTAAAAATGCCAATAGAATTTAAAAAACACTTCTAAATATTTCATGGGTTAGAAGAAACTACATTGGAAATTTTTTAAAAGTACTAAAAACTAAATGATAAAATACCACATATAAAAATTTGTGGGATACAGAAAAATTTATACTTAGAGGCAAATTTATAGCCTTACAGGAAAAGAAATGTGGAAAATTGATGAGTTAGTAGGTTAATCTATCAAGTTAGAAAGAGAATAATAAAATAAATCCAAAGAAAGAAAAGGAAATAAGATAATAAAGAGCAGAACCTAATGTAGTAGAAAAAAGATAACAGAAAGGATCAACAAAGTCAGAAGCTAGTTCTTAGAAAACACTAAAATAAATGTCTGGCAAGACTAATGAAGGGAAAAAAAATGAAACAAAATAGCAAGCCATAAAATAGACCAGTAAATGCAAGGAGCTGCCCATGTGACAGATGCAGCAATACAGATCCATGAGAAAGGAGGGACAATTAAATGGTTCTGGAATTATCTATATGGAAAAAAAATGAAACTGGACCGCTATCTCACATCATATATAAAACCAATACAAGAGGACTAATGATGTCAATACGAAAGGGAAACATTAAACTTTTAGAAGAAATTACAGCAGAAAACTATTGTTTTGTGTCCTCCCAGGATGGAAGGATTTCTTAAATGAGAGACAAAGCATACTACCCAAAAAAGAAAGGTCAACAAATATTCTGACTACATAGAAAGTGAAAACTTCTATTTATCGTAAGGCATCATAAAAAAAAACTAAGAAAAGCCACAAACTGGGATATATTTCCAAATAAAAAACTAATTAAAGGTTAGTATTTAAACTACTATATAAGAATGTCTATAAATAATAAGAAAAAGACAACAGTAGGCAAATAGACAAAAACCTTAATTGGAATTTTATAGACAAGAAACTTTTAAAGCCAACAAATATATGAAAAGATGTAGAAATTCACTGCCCACCAGAAAAATACAACTTCAAACCACATGAGATATTATTTTAAAACTCATTAGAATGGTAAAAAGTAAAAATTTTTATAGCAGATAATGGCAAAAAACAAGCAACAGTGGTGGCTCTTACACACTACTGGTAGGTCTTTAAAATGGTAAAATCCTACTGGAAAACAAGTTGGAATTATCATGTATAGTTGAACATTTGCAGGACTTCAATAAGCAATTCTCAATTTTATAACATAAAAAGAATGTACAGAAGGCACCGAAGTAAATATGGGAAAGTATAAGTCACTAATTCACCAAGTATGATTTCTGAAGCCTGTGGTGGAAAAGAAGGGAAAGGTATAGCTTTCACACAGATGGCATTTAGTCTTCCAAGAAAAAAACACTACTTCCTCTGGGCAGTAAATGAGGGACCTAAGGATAGGTGAAGCTATCGATTCACCTGGACGTAGATTAAAAAAAAAAAAAAATCAAGGCACTTTATTAGTGAATTAAACAGAAAGACAATTGCTGAGAATAAAGGCAACAGGTAGGTATAGCTTAGTTTTTTGAGAAGAATCTTTAGTTTAAAACACTATGAAGACTGGGAAATGCTGCCAACCAGTTAAAAGACTATTCAGTCTACTACATGACACTCTCTCTGTACCCTAATTCCCATCCCTAATCTATTTCACTCTTTGTTTTATGTAAACCCTTTTGCATCAACCAATCTTCAGACTCAAGAATACATATTCTGGTAAGCAGTAACTGCAAATTTAAACTGCAAAACATGATAGAGAAGGTTCAAAAATGATACCATCTTGCCTTAAAAGGGAAGATACACAGCAAATAAAATTATCAATTTCAACATACAGTTAGCCCCCACATGTCATTTAATAACATAAAGCTGTGTGGCACTTAAAATATAATGTACTGTTATATATCTAGTCTTTCACCTGAGCATCACAATAACACTGTGTGAGTAGGTAGGTACTATATCCCAGAGATAAGGATATTGAGCCTCAGAAGTATTATAAGTCTACAGCCATATTTTTATGACATATTACTTGCTCTATATAGATATAATTAACTATCAACATTTGACTATTAAGTATAGTCTTAGTTTAAAAATATTGTTAATCACTTACAATGTATCAGGAACTGTGCTAGACACTGGGGATACAAAGATGAGTAAGACACGATTCCCTCTTTCAAGGAGCTCATAGTCTGGTGAGGAGACAACCCTGTAAACAGATAAATAGCTTTCAGTGTGATAATTACTAAAACAGATGCGAAATGTAAAGCAGTACATCTGGGGCACACAAGAAAAAAGTAGATAATCCAACCTACAGGGATCAAGAAAAGGTTCACAGAGAAGATAATCTTTGAGTGAAATGAATCTTGAAGTCTAATTCTTCAAGAAAGACTTCCCGAGAGAAAATATGGCACTTACGGAGAATTGTTGCCATGGCTGGACAATGGAAAATAGGGACAGCATGAGGTGATAAAGCTAACAAGGCAAACAGAGGTTTAAATTGTATAGGATCTGATGGAATAGTTTATATGGTATTCTAAATATACCACACATAGTACTTTAAAGTTTATCCTGAAGAGAACTGATAGGTACTAAAGGGTTTCAATACTGAAAATTGCATTTTGTACAAATAACTTTGGCAGCTGCGGGGGTCTGATTTAAGACAGTGAGTTTATCTGAATTAAAGCATTAGTAGTACGAAGGAAAAAAAACCTCAGGATACGTATAAGATCTTTGACCAGATGATTATAGGACAGCTGTGGGTTATGAGAAAAAACAATCTGAACAATTAAAATTCCCCACTTCACCTTCTGGGTAGATGATGGCACCATAATCAGGATAGGAAAAAGAAGATTAAGACTACTTGGATTTCATTTCTAATTCTGCCACTTAAGAGCTATGTGACAAAGTTAACTTTTCCATAGCTCATTTTCTCTATCAGTAGAACATGAAAAGCAAAGCCATCTATCTCACGTTACAATGAGCATTAAATGGCATAATACACATAAAATGCTTAGCCCCGTGAGTATATGGCACAAAGTGATCATTTAGTAAAGACTAGTTATTGTTCTTATTGTTGGAGGAGGTTGGAAATAAAGTCTCATTTTGGACATGCTGTTCAAAAGAAAGATTTTAACAACTAGGTATAATAGACAGCTAGTTAGAAAAGTATGCAGCTCAGGAAACAGGTCTATGGAGAAGATATATCTTGGAGTCACAGTTTATACAGGTGGTATTAAATCCATAGAAGACAACGGGCTTAATCACAAAGGAAATATTTTGGAATAAATGCTGAATGGAATGAAGAGGGCACTGATCAACTTCTGCTGGGCAGTATTAATATTGTACTTATCACAAACCCACAGGGACAACAATATGCATGATGATATGACTTTTTCCAGTTTTCCTTGGTCCCAAGATATAAGAACAGAGAAGAACTGTAAGACCAATTCAGGTTCAAGAATTTAGAAAGTGGGTACAGCAAAAAAAAAAAAAAAAAACAAAGTCTGAGTTTTAATAAACTTTAAAACAAATTATTCATTCATCCAAATGAATTTGGGTCATAACCTAAATTTAGGTCATAACCTAAATTCATTTGGGCAATTATATCTAAGCTGATTATGTTCAATTCAATCCTTTAAAAATGCCACAGGATTGCATAAAGGTTCATTATTATTCAACTGCAAAGAACAGAAGAGAGTCCTGAATGCAGATAATAAACTACATTTCCAGTACTGAGGTTATAGATCTATCAAATCCTCATTTAGAAAGTATATCTTCATTGCCTGTTTACTTCAAAATGTCATTCTTAAGTCAGAAGCAAAAAACAAGGTCTCGCTCTGTTGCTGAGCCTAGAGTGCAGTGGCATCATCACAGCTCACCGCAACCTCACACTCCTGGGCTCAAGAGATCCTCCTGCCTCAGCCTCCTGAGTAGCTGGGACTATGGGCACACACCACCACGCCCAGCTAAGTTTTGTACTTTTTGTAGAGATGGAGACTCACTATGTTGCTCATAGTGAGCAACTCGGTCTCGAACTCCTGGCTCCCAAAATGCTAAGATTATAGGTATGAGCCACTGTACCTAGCCAGAAGCAAAATTTCTTTGAAAACAAGTAATTAGAATAGATATGATTCATTCTGCATACTCTGCAAAGTGTCACAGCTTTGAAAAGACAGAGAAATACTGTCACATATCTGCCTGGATCAAATAATAAACACACTTACTGGCTGCCTAGTGTGTAAAGGGAGTATGGCAAGGATACAAAAATGGTAAAAGACAAAGTTCCAGCTTCAATACTAAGTCTAGTTTTGAAGACAATATTAATACACAGGAAACAACTCAAGGTAACAAGATAGGATGGTGTATATCAAAGTAGTTTAGTCCAATGAATGTGAAACCTAAAAGGTTAAAAACCCTGCATTTAGGCAAAGCTATTGCATCAACAACACAAAATTTAAAACTCAATGAATATGACAAAAGTAAAAAGAGATGAACAGAGAAGGCTCCCTCCTCCTAATATATGTAAGATTCAGCAACTCTAACACATAAAATAAGTATTTCATGACAATGTAAACCACAAAATAGAGGATTTAATTTTTAAAAAGATACGCGGCCAGGCGCCTGTAATCTCAGCACTTTGGGAGGCTGAGGCGGGAGGATCACTAGAGCCCGTGAGTTCAAGGCTGCAGTGAGCTATGATCACGCCACTGCACTCCAGCCAGGGTGAAGAGAGAGACTCTGTCTCTAAAAATAAGTAAATAAATAGACAATATAGGAATACTACTTCTATATAGAGAGATCATTTATAAAAATACAATGTTGGTCACTTCAATGAATTTATAAAATGAGACAGTAAACAGAAAGGTGACCAACTAACCACTCATCCTTTCAGATAAAATGTGTTTCACATAAACTTTGAGCCAGCAATTGTACAGGGTATCCTTGTCTATGCAGGATGAAAATTCCTTACCAAAAAAGTAATAAATAATTAATAATAGACATTGGACAGAAGAGTAGAGGCTAGACTGGCAGTAATCATGACACACCAAAGTACAGGCTAGTCCAGAAGATCGGATATCAAAGATATTTCTATTCTGAGCTGACAGAAGTATTGGTTTTTCTCTTTTCCAAGTCAGAGATTAGCAACTTAAAAAATTACATTGCCTCCAAATTTAATGTAAAGTGCTAAACATCTAGGAATGTTATAAGAAATGCAAGTCAAATTCTGTCAACACTAAACTTACAGACTTTTAGAGTCTGGTGATGATCCAATTCTTTGGGGGCAGGGAGGGCTAACAAACCATTGAAAAGAGAAAACTGTCACTTACTGGAGTCTAGTTTCAATTTGGATTTGAATTTCTATTCCCACATTTACTAAAGGACAGCATAACAGTAGTTAACAGCAAATTCTGCAGCCAAACTCCCTGGGTCCAAAACCTGGCTCCACCTGACAATGTTTGACTTCCAGTAACCTCCTTTACCTCACAGTGCCTCAGTTTTTACATCTATGGGAATGATAATATTAAGTTGTTAAGTATGAAATGTCCAATTTCCTTAAGTATTCAGTTTGGTATCTGTGACATTTCACTTTGACACTTCCTGGGGTTTTTTTGTTGTTTTTTTTGAATTTTGAATTTTATTGTGAAGGTACATCCTCATTCTTTCGAACGTACATTTTGGCTTGTAATTATCTTTCAAACGCTTTTTTAGAGCAATTTTTGTGAAACCATGGATAAGTAAAAAATCCATGTTATTTTTTAATATGAGTTCCCTTATGGAACCAGTGCAACACAGATGGCTCGAAATATCAACAAAGCATTTAGGAAAGATGTAGCTAATGAACCCACAGTAGGTTGATGGTTTGAGAAGTTCCATTCCGGTGACTTTAATCTTGAAAATGAGCCCTGTAGGTGACCTGAGACCAAAGTGGAGAATGATGAGCTGAAAGCTGGAGTAGAAACAAATCCATCTCACCTTACGCATGAATTAGCAGCAAGGTTTGACATTACTATCTAACAATATCGGACCATTTGAAACAAATCAGCAAGATAAAGAAGCTGAATAGATGGGTACCACATTAACTAAACCAGTGTCAGAAGAGAAATCATCTCAAAGCTTGCCTTTCTTTGCTGTCAAGGAATAAAGGTGAAACATTTCTACACTATATTGTTATGTGTGATGAAAAATGGATTCTTTTTGACAATCGCAAGCATCCGGCACAACGGCTGGATAAACATGAAGTGCCGAAACACAGTCCAAAACCAAACATTCATCAAAAAAAGCTAATGTTGTCTGTTTGGTGGTCCAGCGCTGGTATTATCCACTACAGCTTCATGAAATCTGGTCAATCGATTACAGTGGATGTCTACTGCAACCAAGTGGGTGAAATGATGAGGATGCTTGCACTTAAGCAGCCAAGACTGATCAATAGAAACAGGTCAATACTCTTGCAAGACCACGTCACAAAAAGCAGTACTGCTCAAGCCACAGAGGCTGGACTTGGAAACACTCTGTCATCTACTGTATTCACCAGACCTTGCACCAACTGACTACCACTTCTTCCAGGCTTTGGACCACTTCTTGCAAGGAAAAATATTCAATTCTCAACAAGCTGTGGAAAACACCCTTCACGATTTTATCACCACTCACTCTCCAGGCTTCTCTGCTGCTAGCATAAGCAAGCTACCATTAAGATGGCAAAACTATGTTGATAGTTTAGGCACATACTTTGATTAATTGTACTGCTTCTTGTATGAAATACAATAAATATTTGATTCGAAATCAGATATTTCATATTTAATGACCTAATAGTAACTACCTTTTAGAGTTAAGAGAATTAAATGAGATAATATTGACAAAGCACTAAAAAGCTGCCTGGCACAAAAATCAGTGCTTAATAAAATCAACAAAGACCGTGGACAAGTAATTTAACCTCTTTCAGTAGCAGATGCCTTGTTAAACAAAAACTATGGGACGCCACTGTTTTGGACTGAGCTCTTACACTAGGAACCAGGAGAACAGACTCAAACCAAAATGGAGTAACTCACGCTAAATGCCATATGATCGAATTGAAACGTTAAGGAAGCAGATCCCAAAACAGACTAGTGTTCCTTGAAAACAGGAGACTCCAGTCTACCTGAGTCAGCAAATAATAAAGTCTTCTCTCCTTTAACAAAAAAAGTAACCTGATGCTAACCAATCA